GGGTTTGAGTCCCAGTTGCTCTACTTCCAATTCTGCCCCTGCTAATACGGCCCAGGAAAAGCAGCAGAGGATAGCCCAAGTCCTTGGACTCCTGCACCCATGCGGGAGAAGCTCCTAATTCTAGGTTTCAGACCAGCCTATCTTTGTCCATTGCAGCCATCTGGGGAGTGAATCAGCAAATGGAAGATTTCTCTCTGTCTCTTGTCCCCTTATAATTCTTCCCTTCAAACAAACAAAAAGATCTTAAAACAAAAAGTTCCCCCAAAGAATTTCATGGATCTTTTCCAGTAGTGTCTCATTCTGATACAGCGAGATGGTTTTTACAGTACAAAAGTGTAGTAACAGTTTTTGACAATTAGCTCTATTCTGGCCACATAGCAACTATGATAATAATCTATCTTAACTTTAGCCTAGATCAAACTTAAACTCTATCCTGGTGTTGAAAGAAACCTTTCTTTATTACTACTCATCTCAATGATTTAGCTCTCTGAAAATGTGATTTAAAAATGAATTCCAGATAGACCCTCTAGTGTATCTTTGCTTCACACTGACATTATGCTATTAATACATGACACTGTATCATTAATAATATTCACCAATACATCTCAGGCCCATTATTTAATGCACATTTAGTGGCAATCAGCAGCAATCAAATAATTGTGCTTGTCTGGCTCAGGCAAAAGATGCACTTACAGATTGTTCTACTGGTCAATTCCATTTGTTGACAGCACAGCAGGGAGGGCTGGGTGTTTTCAATGCAAGAGCTGTTGCACACAATTGGAACCCAGAAAGAGAAGGGCAAAAAGCACAACTAGCGAAGACTTGCGAAGATGAAGTGGAATGGTGAGTCAGCTGGGAAATCTCCATTTGGGAAAGGACACCTAGGTTACCCAAATTGTCAAATTTCCCCTGACATCCTAAGTGCCCTTCTCTCTCGTGCTCACATCCAGAATTATGTGCTCTGCAAGGATGCTTCTGGCCAAACTGCAATTCTCTGACAGACCAAAAATTCACCTGTTATGAACTAAGGACAACCACAGTACTTAGATAATAAAGTAGGAAGTCAAATTAAAACAGATGTAACAAGGAAAAAAATGAGACAAGTAGAATAAAGCGTACAGAAAATCACCAGAGAAATTATGCTTATTTTACACTAGCCACAGCACAGGATGGGGACTGCTGAGTGGGGTATAGATGGGGAAAACTGGAGAAGAGTTAGTTGAACTCTGGACCTTTCCTTCTGGCTTCCTACGATCCTTTTTTCTTCTTGAGTACCCAAGGGTCTCATATGACTTACACCTGGAACATCCACAAATGTCTCTTGCTCTAAATATCTTTCCTTCTTACACCCCAATTAAAGTCTTCTTAAGTTATAACATCAAGTAGATCTCTTTAAACACTTGATACAAGAGAGGCTGGCCATCACATGTGTGGGCTGAATAGTGGTGCTGGTTGGGTTGAACTTGGCTTCAATGTCCATTGACACGTACGAGAGCTTGATGGGTCTGGAACAGACAGGACCAGTCTGCTCTACATACTGGCAAGCGTGGGAAACAGGGCAAGAGGAACACCTAATGGGGATTATTACGGGTCACTCCAACCAGGCTTCAGCTCCCACTGGTTTGCGTAGAGGCCTAGTGTGTGGTGGGCAAGATTGGACTGCACTGTAATACCCATCACTTTGCATAGAAGACAGGACTGGAGATAGAATTAAACCAGCAATTGCAACTAATAGTATGTACGAAGGCCAATTTGAGCAACGGACTGTGCTACACCCTGTATTGGTATCACACACAAGAATCAGGTCTGGGATCACCTCAGATGAAGTTTCTTTAGGAATCTCCCCAAATGAAACACTGGACTCAGAACTGCAACCATGGAAAAAATTGCAGGTTCCATGGCCTGATTGTGGAATGTATGTGTCAGAGCTGAGCCTCCTCAGTGGCTTAGATAGAGCAGTGGACAGCATATCCAGATGCACATGGAGGACATGGCAGTACACTGGAGGCTGCAGAGGACACCTGGTACCACAACAGAGGATGGAGGACAAAACAGATCAATCAATTACCCCAGCCAAGTGTTGGTAGTGAATGCCTGGGAAAGCAGAGTCTCTAAGTTGAACTGTCAGCCGTTGGAGTCTGAAGAGATTTCATCGTGACTGGAGTGGCAAGATCGGCAGCAATACAGAACTGTTGAACTATGAAAATCACTTAAACAGGACCCTTGGAGAATGCTCCACATCAGGGACTCTGGGACGGTTGGGATGCTGGGTGTGGCTTCTCCCCTTATATCTCCCCTTCCCACAGGTACAGGAAGGAAGAAGAGAGAATGTAAAAACAATGGTCTCACACATTTTCCTCTGGCCCTTGATCCTTCGCACCGTAATCAAATATGTAAAAGTTACCAAAAATAAAATTTATACAAGAGAAAAGAGAGAGAGACAGAGAGGAAGGCATGGTGGTTCAACAGGCTAATATTCCACCTGCAAATACTGGCAGTCTATATAGGCACTGGTTCATGTCTTGCTGCTCCACTTCCCATCCAGCTCCCTGCTCCCCAGGATCTGCGAAAGCAACACAGGATGGCTCAAGTCCTTGGGGCCCTACATCCACATGGGAGACCAAGAAGCAGCTCCTGGCTCCTGGCTTTGAACAGGCTCAGCTCTGGCTGTTGTGGCCATTTGGAGAGTAAACCAGAGGATGGAAGTTATTTCTTTCCTCTCTCTCCCCCACCTCTCTCCCTGACTGCCTCTCCCTCCCTCTTTTTCTCTCCACCTCTTGCTATAAATCTGCTTCTCAAATAAAAAATATATTTAAAAGAAACAAAAATACAATCACTTCCTAAAGAGTCTCAATATGATTACTTTTAGTTACCAAGAACATAATTACATAGTGGATTATAGGGTGAATTCTTAATGGCAATTGTCAGGAAATGACAGTATTGCTGGAGGAAAACAGAAAAAGAAGGGGTATTAATGGCCATTTATATTTGAGTAAAGAACTGGCACATGTAACATTATGTGAACAGGAACCTATACAAATTTCCCTGGGAGGAGTGGGAGTGCTGGGTGACACAACCAGTTCAGCCATCACTCTACATTATTACTTTGCCACATCAGAGTGCTGGCTCCAGGTCTTCCATGTGCTAATGCATCTAGGAGACAGCACACAATGATTCAAGCGCTTAGGTCCTACGGCCTTCATCTTCTAAAATGCCAAACATGGAAGTATTCCAAAAAAGAATCTTGACTCCTCTTCCTTCTCTCCGCACATGCAATGGATGACTGCATCTGTTGGGTGGCCCTGAAAACCTTGTCTGCCATCCCCAGGATCTCTGTCTTAACATTAGACTTGCAGATCCAGCTGCCTAATGGACAATACTACCTGGTTATCTCATTAGCATTTCACACTTAATATGAAAAAAAAAAAAAAAAAACTCCCACACTCAGCTCTTCCTGGAATCTTCCTATTTCCATTCAATGACAACTCCATCCTTCCATGCTGCTCAAGTCCGCAACTTTAGAACAAGCAGGGATCTGAATGGGAAGTGGGGCTGCTGGGGCATGAACCAGCACCCATATGGGATCCTAGAGAGTTCAAGCCGAGGACGTTAGCTGCTAGGCTACCGTGCCGGGCCCAAGAGTACTGATTTATCCATGATGACTCTGCCTTCATGCTCTACTCACACCCAAGGTACCATTTCTTCATATCATCACGTTGGTGATTTGGATTCAATGTATCAATTTAGGATGTTAGGGGGATGCCATTAGAACATATACAAATTATGGGCGCCGGTTCTAATCCCGGCAGCCCCTCTTCCCTTCCAGCTCCCTGCCTGTGGCCTGGGAAAGCAGTCGAGGACGGCCCAAAGCCTTGGGACCCTGCACCCACGTGGGAGACCCGGAAGAGGCTCCTGGCTTCGGATTGGCATAGTATCGGCCCGTTGCGCTCACTTGGGGAGTGAATCATCGGACGGAAGATCTTCCTCTCTGTCTCTCCTCTCTGTATATCCGCCTTTCCAATAAAAAAATAATAAAAATAAATCTTTAAAAAAAAAAGAACATATACAAATGGAAAATATAAAACTGTTTCCAAAGATCTGAAAAAGGTATCTATTTAGTGCTACTGTCTTAGTGCTGGACATCACTTTAAATAACATCACAAAAATGTTCAAGTTAGAACTCCTGAAGATATAAACTGCTTTTATACAGAATGAAAACAAAGCCCATAAATTTTTGTATTTGTCTAAAAATCAGGCAACTCATCAAAGCAGAACTGCACTGCAAAAAGATCTTTAGTACTTTGCAAAACTCTACACATATTTTAATTATCCAAATACTGTATTGTAAAATTTGTATTATTTCCTTTTATGTTTCTCAAGCATTTATATCAAGATTAAAACCTCTGCTCTGTTAAAGACAAAATTCAAACCCTACTTTCTATTTTAGGGAGAGGAAAAGAAACTAAATAACACTTCTCCGTTGTAGGATTTAACAATCCGTGAAACAGAGTATTGGTGGTGAGCAGAAAGCCCTACCAAGTGGCAACTTTAAATAAAATTCTTCCAAATAAAAGAATGTCATTGAGCAACCCCTGAAACACTACGTCGTTTCTTCGTTTGGCCTTCCCGCAATATTTTCTGGCTCATGAGTGGGTATTCGCTGGTTAATATATGTCACAGTACACTAAAATATGTTCACCGTCCTTGAAAACTGCACGCAAAATACTGCAAATGGCAACGCGAGGTGCTAACAGGTAAGGAGAGTTTTAAGGAACGAGGCACAGTACCGCCCCAAGTCCTTGCTAACAAGCATTTGCAAATGCCCAGAGCTCGGGAGCGAAGGGCAAGACTCCGCGAAGTCCAACCGCCGATCCAGAAACACGGCGACCCGCCTACCCTCCAACCAACCCGACTCGGCTCTCCCGCCCGCCCACTGCTTGGCGACCTTACCGCCACCTCCGCGTCTCCTTTTACGCCTTTCACGACAGTTTTGCGGCCGTATTCTAGGGCTCCCGCGCGGAGCGGGTCGGGGTGGCTGCCTGCAGGTCGCCGCTTTGGGGTCAGGGCTCTGGCGGTGGCCGCGGCCTGTGGCCTGGGATGTACCGCGCTGCCGGTGGAGGCAGGGGATCCGCGCCCGCGCCATGGTGAGAGCAGCCTGCCGGGCTTCTGGAGCGCTCCGGGCGAGCCTGACGTTACTGCCCTGGTGCGCCCCGGGGTGGGAGAGCCGCGGAGTGGGAGCACCCCGGGGTGGGAGCGTCGCCGCCTCAGCCCTCTGGGTTTGGGTGTCCCAGGGGGCGCTTTGGCCCCTTCCGGCCTGGGTGTCCCAGGGGGCGCTTTGGCCCCTTCCGGCCTGGTTGTCCCAGGGGGCGCTTTGGCCCCTTCCGGCCTGGGTGTCCCAGGGGGCGCTTTGGCCCCTTCCGGCCTGGGTGTCCCAGGGGGCGCTTTGGCCCCTTCCGGCCTGGGTGTCCCAGGGGGCGCTTTGGCCCCTTCCGGCTTGTGTGTCCCAGGGGGCGCTTTGGCCCCCTTGTCCGCCACCCTGCGGCTCCGGGCACAGAGGCCCTTGGACTCCTGTGAGGAGCTGCCACTGCGTGGGACGGCCATGGGGGATGCCTCCCAGTGCTCCGCCGGCCTTTTGTCCCCCGACGTTGATGTCCACGATTCCCTAATATATCTGGACTTTTGTTAGGAGACCACAGGACAGTTAGACGAGCTTTCCGTGTCACGGTTAGCATTGAAAATGCCTCCTCAGAATTTTACAGGCCCTGTCAGTGAACAGGCTTTCTTGAACAGCCATCTATTTCCAGTGTTCTTGACCTCATGCGCCTGAGGAAAGCCTTTGGCAAAAGGAACAGTAAATAAAGCAAATATTCCTGTTCTCTTCTTCCATAGTTAAAATAATCCCATACTTTTACACATGATCTTAGCCAAAAGGCCAAGAAGTGATAAAATAATCCTATATACTCTTGTAATTGTGTTGGATAGTAAAGGATCACTTGCTGGAATATTGTCACCTTAAAAGTTCTTTCTCCATTTAAGAAACTTGTGATGAGTTTGGTTGGGGAGAATGGGCCTAAAGAAGGGTGGAAATCAGAGAATAAATATTCACTTTTTCCCCTTACCAGGCCAGTACAATGGTAGCAGTTGGACTGACTATTGCTGCTGCAGGATTTGCAGGTTTGTTTATGGTCCGGGGGTGGAAGTGAAGTAGGGTAGTGTGGACTTACTTACCCTATTGTTTTTGCTTTTAGGTCGTTATATGTTGCAAGCTATCAAGCAAATGGAGCCTCAAGTAAAACAAGTTTTCCAAAGTCTACCAAAATCTGTAAGACATACTAAACATTCTTGCTAACTTCCTCTGTGTTTTTAAATTTAGAACATGTTTGAGGATTCTGTTCCTATATTCTCAAGATAACTTATAATGACTGGAAAAGAATGCTGTCTAACCATTTGACAGCTTATATAAAACCACAAGTGCAATGGGAATCCCACGGAACCTAGCATGACACGTTAACCCTTTACCTGTAGTCCTGCCACTGTGTATACGCATTTCCCATCTAGCTCTCTGCTAATGGTCTGGGAAAAGCATCAGAGGATCATCCAAGTAATTGGTTCCTGGACATTGTGGCCATTTGGGGAGTTAACCAGCAAATGGAAGATCTGTTTTCTCTGTAATTCTGCCTTTCAAATAAGTTTCTTTTTAATAGTATACAATCATAGCTTTGAAAAATTTCTCTGCAGATGTTCCACTTTTCATACTGAAAATCTTTCAGTTTAATAATTTTTCCTGACAAATTTCCTCTTTCAGGCCTTCAGTGGTGGCTATTACAGAGGTGGATTTGAACCCAAAATGACAAAACGAGAAGCAGCATTAATCCTAGGTGTAAGGTAATATTTTATTCAATCTATTCTTGAGCTATGAGGAAATGTAACCTTTCCTTGTTTTAGGAATAAATTATTTGGGATTTTGTCCCGGTAAGACAATGTTGTTGGTTCTGCTCATTAGTCTTACTATTCCTTCCTAGCGTTTGGATAGCTAAGATTGAAAGCTCCTTACGAAAAGCCAAGGGAAATGCACTGTACAGTAACACAGTAGGGCTTCCTCATTCATTGGAAGAGGATTACACAGCGCTGTGTTATTCTCTGTAAAGATGACTTTTTCTGTGTTGAAATTCTGCCTTCCTTTCCAAATACTCAAATTTGATTTCTTTTTCTGTTTTATTTGAAAGACAACAAGGAGAGTAAGCATTCTTTCTCTCCTAGGTAAGAAACAGTTTTAAGAATGCCTTACTTGTACATACATAAATAGTTTAATCCTGTGATTCAGAATATGGATTTTCCATAATTGTTTATAGAGATTACTAAACGGCTTTTATTGCATTTACTATTTTCAGTTTTTATTTGGCCTTTATCTACTATTTATGCAGTAGACTGAAGTGATACCTTTTCCATTCCTAATTAGCCCAACTGCCAATAAAGGAAAAATAAGAGATGCACATCGACGAATTATGCTCTTAAACCACCCAGACAAAGGTAAGTAGCCATTAAGCTGTTGCTACACATGCTGTGGAAGGAACTAATTGTAATTTATGGACTAGCTTTGTATCTGATTCTTAACTATTATGTAAGAGAAGCCTAAATATGTATGAGCAATGTCTCCAATGGTGGCTGCTTGTTTTTGCTGTCTGAAAAGAAACTGAATAAAAATTTACAGAATCAATATGTATGAACAATATCTCCCAAACTGGCTCCATGTTTTTGGTGTCTGAAAAAAATAAAACTGAATGAAACATTTATTTACAGAATGAAGAACATGTCTGAATACTGTAATTTTAGCATTTAGATATTAATGTTTTAAGATCTACAGTTGTGGTAAAACTTCTCAGTAATGGCAATCACAAATACTACCACTGTTTTGATACTTTTCTGGAGCTAATAAAATTAAGATATTCTGAATGGGAAATTACATAGTTAAGAGTATATGATATATTATGACATACTTACTAGCAGCCTTAGGCTTCTTGAAAAGATACAGTTCCTTTGGAAAACTTAAAAGACCACAAATTTTTTTGTTTTGTTTGCTTTTTATGGGAGACCTTTCAATAACAAAGAGAGTTTTCACAGTGTGAAAAGGGTTATAACTTTTTGGTATCAGAGTAAAATAAATTTGCTTGCATTACCTACGGGGTTTCTGATTTTTCGGAGTCTCGACTACAGCCCATAAATATGAAGTGTCCTGTTGATGGTTTTAGGGCCACTTTTTGAGGAAAAGTACTGCAATGGCAGATTAAAAGGGAAACAACCATAAATGACATTGTGAAGGGACAGCTGATAGTAGAAAAAGGAAAATGAGAAGCAAAAAAGATAAAAAAGCAAATTGAGGGGCCCAGCATGATGGCTCAGTGACTCAATCCTCGCCTTGCATGTGCCAGGATCCCATGAGAGCACTGGCTCATGTCCTGGCTGCTCCACTTTCCATCCAGCTCCCTGCTTATCACCTGGAAAGCAGTTGAGGACAGCCCAAAGCCTTGGGACCCAGCACCCACATGGGAGACCTGGAAGTGACTCCTGGATCCTGTCTTCAGATCAGCTGAGCTCCAGCTATTATGGTCACTTGGAGGAGTGAACCAGTGGTTAAAAGATTTTTGTATCTCCCCTTCTCTCTGTAAATCTGCCTTTTCAAGAAAAATAAACCAAATTGAAGTCTTTCCCAACACAGAACCTCACGGTTTTACAGTAAGAGTACAATAAATCAATCAGCACTTGAGATTTGTCATGAATACGCCGACTTTCCCTGTCATCTAAACACATCGTGGGGGGAGGCATTTTAACTCATTTTACAGTGATTGTTATTAGCATCCAGTTACAGTGTAATAATTTCACTTCCAAAAGACATTTTTTAAGATTTATTTTTATTGGAAAAGCAGATTTACAGAGAGGAGGAGATAACAAAGATATTATATCCACTGCTTCCCTCCCCAAGTGGCCCACAATGGTCAGAGCTGAGCTGATCTGATCAGAAACTAACAGCCAGGAACTCTCCTGGGGCTCCCACGCAGCTGCAGAGTCCCAAGGCTTTGGGCCGTGCTGTACTTTGAAGCCATAAGCAGGGAGGGAGATGGATGGAAGTAGAGCAGCCAAGATATGAACCAGCACCCGTAATGAATCCTGACGTGTGCAAGGCGAGGATTAAGCCATTGAGCAATGGTGCCGAGCCCAATGTTGGGATGTTGAGAGTAGCTTTTACTAAGCAGCAATTGGTAATACATATTATAACTATTGTTTTTTTCCTGCAGGAGGATCTCCTTATATCGCAGCCAAAATCAATGAAGCTAAAGATTTACTAGAAGGTCAAGCTAAAAAATGAAGTAAACATGAATTTTCAGTTCACATTAGTGTGTATGATCAGCACTTTTTTATAATAAAACAACTCAAGAGCTAATTTTTTTTTTTAAGTCAGAGCTAATTTTTTAAAATGATATAGAAAAACCTGAATGAACCCTTGGTATGATTTTCTGGTTTAAATGTGAAACTTTTATATCACACTTTAGCTGAATATTCAGTAAATGACATATTCACATTTGGGTAGAAATCTTGTTCGTTATTCATTTAGCAAATAATTCAGTACCTGTATGTACTGTTAAGGGTAGGTCTTGACTCAGGAGACCCCCACCCCAGTCAAATGGAAGGTTAATAAAGCTGTAATTACCCATTCAATCTAATGGTGGAATTAACACAAAATAATAAAGCAGACCCTCTTGCAACTAGTCCCAGCTGGGAGACTGACTTAATTCCAGCCTCCTGGCAATTGCAGGCATTTCTGAAGTGAGTCAGATGCGATCTGCCACATAAGTCAATCATTAAAAAATTGATATACCAATAAATTTTACATCTGAAAGCAAATGACTGTTGCTCTAAGAAAATATAGGTAGATCTTAAGAAAACAGTAAAAGTATGTGATGCCCCAATGAAAGTATTTATTATACATAGCTAAGATAAATGACACTACCTACCATCTAACCTTGGAGTTTAGATGTAATCACTAACAAAGGGACTCGATACAAATAATTATATTGAAAGCTGGAAAGTATGTAGGAGCATTTTAAAGTAAAGGTAAATCTCTTGTTCTTCCTGTGTACAAAATCTTGATGACATTAGAATTTGAGTCTGAAATGTTTGCACTTCCTACTCTCAAGGGCAAAGGGGCATAAAGCTACACATGATTCTTTATACTTGAGTACTATCTAAAGTTACTGTGAACACTGAATTAGCATATAATGAATCACTGTTCATAGAGGAAATAGAAGGTTCTTCTGTGTGCATCCGAATGGGCACAGGCTCATGACATGCCGCATCCACTTCCCAACTTGAGGTGACTAGAATTCCATTTTTCTAAAAGGGTGATATAATGCTCACAGGTAATCACAGGTAAACAGAACACTTCCTAAGTTTGCTTTTGCATGTTCAATGTGGACAGGATACCATTTAAGACAGCTGTTACAGCAAAAATGGAAACTGCTTGAAAATAATGCTTAGCAGAGTACATTTGTCTTTTTGGCAACCACCCCTCCCTCACCAGGCTTGCCTTTCAAGTAGGAGAAATCAGTATCGTACTGAAGGCTCTAGATCATACTAACTGGTACATTCATGAGCCACAAAGTGACTTTTCCTTAGAAATACTTTATCTGCAATGACATTCACTAAATCAAGGTACTAAAATTGTGCTGGGCATTTCCCAAGCATCTCAAACAGATGTACATTTTACATATAAACAAAGTTCAATGAAATTGAAGGCTGTTCCTTCTGGGATACAAAGTTCCAGTTAGACATCTATAGGATGATACTTATTAGGTATTCAAAGGGGCTATAATGATGTGGTCCTGGAGAGGCTGGCATAGCAGGTCAGGCTAATCCTACACCTTCAAGTGCAGGAATACCTTATAGGTGCTTCCCCAGCTCTATGCTTCTGACCTGGAATAGCAATGGAAGACTAACAAATCCCTGGAATCTTACACCCATGAGAAACAAATTCAGGTTGTTGGATTTGGATCAGCTCAGCTACAACTGCTATACCCATTTGGAAAACAAACCAGTGCATGGAAAATCTGCTTTTCCGATACACAAGGAGAGATGGGGGTGTGGGGGCTTGCCCAATAGCCTACAGGATGGAGTCCGTTGGCTTGCATATGCCAGGATCCCATACAGGTTCCCCTGTGTATCCTAGCTTTTCCACTTTCCTTCCAGCTCCCTCCTTAAGGCCTGGAAAAGCAGTAGAGGGCAGCACAAAGCCTTGGGACCCTGCAGCTGCATGGGAGACCCAGAAGCTGGCTCCTTTGCTTTGGTTCTGCTCAGCTCTGGCTGTTGAAGCCACCTGGGGAGCATGCCAGCACCTCTTTGTGGATTTGACTTTCCAATAAACAACTGTTTGAGTGTGTGTGTGTGTGTGTGTGTTCCTGGAAGTAGTTTTAAGTAAATCCTAGTATTTTATATATTATATATCTATTGTTTTTATCCAGAGGTAGAACGTTTATATAACCATATTGTGTACATGTCATGTTATTTATATAATAGTATTTAAATGCAGCATTTAAATATAAGAAGTCTAGTTATTCAGACCAATATTACAGAAGACTCAATTCAAGGAGTATGTAAAACTTTGTATGAGAACAGGTAAGCTGGCATCTGTGTATTTAGTTCTGGTTATCTGGGTTTATCTGTCATCATAATTTGTGGTAAATTACAAGTCAGCTAAAAAGAAAATCACTGAAAATTGGGGCAAATTCACTGCATTATACAAAGTAACCCCCTAAACATCCTATGCGACCATGAAAAAAATTTCACACTGGAAATCAATGTACTAAGGAAAATCCTAACTATTTAAAAATAAAATCCCCTCCAGCAAAATGCTTGAAGGATTTTGCAGCTTTACCACTGAAAATTGTTTCAAACATGAAGATGTGTACAGCATCTTTCTCTTGGACAGTGATCTGCAAAAAAAGGATTTGTAACTCAAGATGGAAATAGCAGATAAAAATTGAGTGTGAATGACACAACTCAATTCCAATGAAAATATAAATCAGCTCAAGAATTTCCAACAGTACAAAACTAAATTTGAGATCAATTAAAAAAAAAAAAAACTTTAAAAATACTCCAGTGGTTTATGAGGCACCATTTATCCCAGAAAACTTAAATGACTTAACTTTGCCTTAATCTTGGAGTGCTGTGCACTCCAAAGACAAGTTTTCCCAGAGCCATCTGTTGACCTGATAAGAGGATATATGAAGACTCTCCTAACCTGTTATTTTCGTTTGTTTTTAAAGATTTTATTGGAAACCCAGAAATACAGACAGCAAATATGGAAAGATTTTTGGTTCACTGGTTTACTCCCAAAGTGGCCGCAACGGCTGGATTGCTAAGCTGGTATACAGCCAGGAGTTTCTTTCAGGTCTCCAACATAGGTGCAGGGTCCTAAGGTTTTGGGGCACCCTCAACTGTTTTTCCAGGCCTCAGCAGGGAGATGGACAATAAGTGGAGCAGCCAGAACACAAATCAAAATTGGCACACATATAGGATCCTGCTGCATGCAAAGTGAGGACTTTGCCACTGGGCTATCACCAAGCCCTAACCTGTCAACTTTTATTCCTGTAGAAAGTCCAGTATTAAGGTACTTTTAAAAGATTTATTTCTATTGCAAACTCAGTTATACAGAGGAGGAGTGACAGGAAGATCTTCCATCTGATGATTCATTCCAACTGAGAGCAACAGTTTGTGCTGGGCTGATCCAAAGCCAGGTGCCAGGAACTTCCTCCAGGTCTCCCAAACAGGTGCAGGGTCCCAAGGTTTTAGGCAGTCCTCAATTGCTTTCCCAGGCTACAAGCAGGGAGGGGAAGTGGACTCAACGAGACTAGAACACCTTATGCCACTAGGACATTTGCCGGATCCAGTGTTAAGGTATTTCAAGAATGTATTATTTGCTGCCACCTTAAAGGTTTCAATTCCTTGCAATTTGCTTTACAACCTGAAAACAGCAAGGATGTAAAGATGAACCTCAAATGGCTTCAGCGTAAGCTCCATGGGAGACTTAAGCGTAAATAACTTATCTATAAAGACTATTGGATGGTACTTTTAATGAAATATGGTCTCCAGCCTAGAAAGTTGTAAGAAGCTTTATAATTTTATCCTTTAAGGAATATACAAAAAATACACCAGAAAACAAGCACAATTAGACAAATTCAGGAAGCCATTACTGGTGCTGGTGTAGTACCTTAACAGGCTAATTTTCCACCTGTGAACTCCGGACATCCCATATGGGAGCCAGTATGTGTCTCCACTTTCCTGCTTATGGAAGGAGCCTGCTTCCACAGGGAAGATCTGCTAGAAGCTAGGAGAGCCATTGAGGGAGTAAGTCTAAATCTCTCTGTAACTTCCAAGTTATCAAGTAAGATCAGTAAGTCTTTATATTGTAAAAAGCATTATTATTTATTGTATAGTTTCCTGAGAAAAATCAAAAAGATATTATCCTGGTTTTGTTTGGGCTTCCCCTGGACTGGATTTAGTATAGATGGAAATGGTTGGGATGGATACAACCCAAACTTTTCAACTGAATACTCACCCCATGAGAACATTATGCCATTTATTTGGTGGTTCCCCAACATCTAAATAGAACTAAATTCCAATTATGTGAATACTGCAAAAAAGTTTCAAAATATTTACTAGCTCCACACCCTCTAATTGGATGAAACTGAAATCATAAAAGATACCACAACATTAACTCCCAGTTCTGTACTTACAGTTGACCATTTTTAACCAACAAATGTGGGAATTCTTGTTGTTCAATTTGATTATCCTATTTTCGAATGCACTTTTATTTATTTGAAAGGCAGAGTAGAGAGGGAGAAAATCAGTCTTCACTCTCTCCAAGGCCAAGTCAAAGTTTCCAAGTGGGAGCAAGAGAGGGTCCTGAGCACAAGTACCATTCTTCACTGCTTTCCCAGATGCAGTCCAAGGAACAGGACAGGAAGTATAGCAGAGAGGATGCCCAGCATGCCACACAGGCCATAGCTTAGACCACATGTGCCCCAGTAATGGCCCAATTCCAACCAGCTGTACAGATCAGTTTAAAAACTGACTGGAGCACACTGCAGCTGCTTTCATAGTTCCTGAAAAAAACTTATACTTTCAGACTGACAAATGGATTCTGAGCTAACATTCATCAGAGCATACACCAGGATCCCATGAGCGTCAGTTCTGTGTCCCAGCTGCTCCACTTTCACTTCCCTTTCAGATCCCTGCTGGTGGCCTGGGAAAGCAGTCGAAGATAGGCTTTGGGACTCTGCACTCATATGGAGGAACTGGAAGCTACTCCTACCTCCTGGCCCCAGATCAGCTCAGCTCTGACCATTGAGGCCACTTGGGAATGAATAGTAGAAGAAACATCTTTGTCACTCCTTCATTCTGTAAATCTGACTTTCCCATCAAAATAAATAAATCTATATTTAAAAAATTCCAAATTGGGTCCCGGCACAATAACGTAGTGGGTAAAGTCCTAGCCTTGCATGTGCCAGGATCCCATTTGGGCGCAGGTTCTAATCCCAGTGGCCCCGCTTCCCATCCAGTTCCTTGCTTGTGGCCTAGGAAGGCAGTCGGGGCCAGCCAAAAGCCTTGGGACCCTGCAGCCATATGGGAGACCTGGAAGAGCTCCTGGCTCCTGACTTCAGATTGGCTCAGCTCCAGCCATTGAGGCTGCTTGGGAGTGAACCATCGGACA